TGTTACCTGTATGTTACGTGTAATGTTACCTGTATGTTACGTGTAATGTTACCTGTATGTTACGTGTAATTTTACCTGTATGTTACGTGTAATGTTACCTGTATGTTACGTGTAGTTACCTGTATGTTACGTGTAATGTTACCTGTATGTTACGTGTAATGTTACGTGACTGTGACCTGAGATTTTACCTGAGAGAATGATGACCGTCGAAAGGATCCGTCTGTATTGCCGGTAAGGCTATACAAAGTCCTGTGGCGACTGACATTGCTAACGTTTTGTGTGATCTCTCTATATCCTAGGTATAACAATCCATCAGGGATTCTGGCAATTTCAGTCCTCCGTAAATCCTATTAAGGATGGCTCGAATCCTTCCGATACCCGAAGGGCTCACAGATCTACGTATAATCCGAGTTTTGACGGTAACTACAGTCCCGTTCCCTTTCCTACGGCATACACAGTCCTTCGTATAGCCGGGTTTAGGATGTTTTGTGGACTGTCCTAACACTTAAACGTACGTGTGTTCTCGGTGACTTCTCAACTCGAACAAATAATTACCAAACCAAAGGTAATTGTCACTCAACAGCCCTACCCCACGGGTCCGTTACCGAGGCCCCGGGGTCACTACCGGTGATGTTAAAAACATATTTATGAATGTCGCATGTTAAACTCGTCAACTGAATGTCGAAGCGCGCTGTAATCAATTCGGTAAATAGTCCTTGGACCAGTGCCTGGGTTTTAACGCCAGTCTATGGCTGAACAGGAACAATGGCTGTAGAGTTTAACACTATGACAACTTCCATTGCGGCTTGTAAAATCTCAGACAATGACAAACAATCACGCAAGCTTTATACCAAATTTAAGGCTTCCTCTGTACCTTACAGGCCTGTATCTAATTTTTTTTTTCATGTTTTCATATTGCCAATGGATATAAACTGGGTAACAGTTCTGTTCGTTCTATCTGGTGGTCATTTTCTGAAATTCTCCCTGAAGCAAATGTTTATAGCATGTATGACTAAAGCTAACAATATGCTTATTTAAATCTGGGCCTGTACATGTGATTATGTATTAACCGTTAATTAACCGTACGCGTCGGTCGTTATCGCTCTGGTTCTTTTGGCAGAAACATGAAGCGATTATCGAATAAAAGGCGTAAATCAATATTGTCATTGTGCTTATGATTTATTCATTTTACAGTAAATGTAGCAGTTATAATCCGTGTGAGTGTTTTAAAGGCTCATACGATTCTTGGTCTGCCTGACCTCTGAATAACTACACTGAAATAATCCCCGATGGTTGATCAAGACAGGTTCCGAAATAACTCCCTGTCTAAACTTATAACGCCGAGAACTTCATTATTTATTCTATTTTCATTCATATATTTATTCATTTATTACTTTGATCTATTTGTTTTCGGATTAGGGTAACTTCTACATGAGTATACTATAGTATCCTAAAGTCTGTTATGAATTTCAGACAAAGACTGGAGTATCCTATAGTTTCTTATCCTTTTAGGACGGAGACTGGAGTATCCTATGATGTGTTATCCCTTTAGAACGGAGACTGGAGTATCCTATGATGTGTTATCCCTTTAGGACGGAGACTCGAGTATCCTATGATGTGTTATCCCTTTAGGACGGAGACTGGAGTATACTATGATGTTTATCGCTTAAGGACGGAGACTGGAGTATCCTATGATGTTTATCGCTTAAGGACGGAGACTGGAGTATCCTATGATGTGTTTTTCCTTTAGGACGGAGACTGGAGTATACTATGATGTGTTATCCCTTTAGGACGGAGACTCGAGTATCCTATGATGTGTTACCCCTTTAGGACGGAGACTGGAGTATCCTATGATGTGTTTTTCCTTTAGGACGGAGACTGGAGTATCCTATGATGTGTTATCCCTTTAGGACGGAGACTCGAGTATCCTATGATGTGTTATCCCTTTAGGACGGAGACTCGAGTATCCTATGATGTGTTACACCTTAAGGACAGAGACTGGAGTATCCTATGCTGTGTTACACCTTTTGGACCGAGACTGGAGTATCCTATAATGAGTTATCTCTTTAGGACGGAGACTGGAGTATCCTATCTGTGTTATCCCTTTAGGACGGAGACTCGAGTATCCTATGATGTGTTACACATTTAGGACGGAGACAAGAGTATACTATAATGTGTTATCCCTTTAGGAAGAAGACTGGAGTATCCTATGATGTATTACAAGTTTAGGACGGAGACTGGAGTATCCAACGATGTATTACACATTAAGGACGGAGACTAGAGTTTCCTATGATGTGTTACACCTTTAGGATGGAGACTGGAGTATACTACGATGTGTTACACCTTTAGGATGGAGACTAGAGTATACTACGATTTTTAACACCTTTAGGATGGAGACTGGAGTATACTACGATGTGTTACACCTTTAGGATGGACACTAGAGTATACTACAATGTCTTACACCTCTAGGATGGAGACTGGAGTATACTACGATGTGTTACACCTTTAGGATGGAGACTGGAGTATCATACGATGTGTAACACCTTTAAGATGGAGAGTGGAGTATACTAAGATGTGTTACACCTTTAGGATGGAGACTGGAGTATACTACGATGTTTTACACCTTTAGGATGGAGACTATAGTATACTACGATGTGTTACACCTTTAGGATGGAGACTGGAGTATACTACGATGTGTTCCACCTTTAGGATGGAGACTGGAGTATAATACGATGTGTTACACCTTTAGGATGGATACTCTAGTATCCTATAATGTGTTACACCTTTAGGATGGAGACTGGAGTATACTACGATGTGTTACACCTTTAGGATGGAGACTGGAGTATACTACGATGTGTTACACCTTTAGGATGGAGACTGGAGTATCCTACGATGTGTTATCCCTTTAGGATGGAGACTGGAGTATACTACGATGTGTCACACCTTTAGGATGGAGACTAGAGTATACTACGATGAGTTACACCTTTAGGATGGAGACTGGAGTATACTACGATGTGTTACGGCTTTAGGACGGAGACTGGAGTATACTACGATGTGTTACACCTTTACGATGGAGACTAGAGTATACTACGATGTGTTACACCTTTAGGATGTAGACTAGAGTATACTACGATGTGTTACACCTTTAGGATGCAGACTAGAGTATACTACGATGTGTTACACCTTTAGGATGTAGACTAGAGTATACTACGATGTGTTACACCTTTAGGATGCAGACTAGAGTATACTACGATGTGTTACACCTTTAGGATGTAGACTAGAGTATACTACGATGTGTTACACCTTTAGGATGGAGACTAGAGTATACTACGATGTGTTACACCTTTAGGATGGGGACTGGAGTATACTACGATGTGTTACACCTTTAGGATGGAGACTCTAGTATCCTATAATGTGTTATCCCTTTAGGATGGAGACTGGAGTATACTACGATGTGGTACACCTTTAGGATGGAGACTCTAGTAACCTATAATGTGTTATCCCTTTAGGATGGAGACTGGAGGATACTACGATGTGTTATCCCTTTAGGATGGAGACTGGAGTATACTACGATGTGTTACACCTTTAGGATGGAGACTGGAGTATACTATGATGTGTTACACCTTTAAGATGGAGACTAGAGTATACTACGATGTGTTACACTTTTAGGATGGAGACTGGAGTATCTCTTTAATTGATAGAGATATATCAATCAGTTGATGAGATATCTACTTAAATAAAGGAGATATCCCTTTTAGGTATGAAATAACAAGTTGGCTTGTTGCTTAACAGACTATAGACAAGATAAATCTGTACACCAGGGATAGATCCACTGGGAGTTTTCTGGCTTTGATCTTCAAACATCATCGCCGTTAGTTCGTCAACCAGAGCCTGTTCGTCAACCAGAGCCTGTTCGTCAACCAGAGCCTGTTCGTCAACCAGAGCCTGTTCGTCAA